ACACTTGCAGGGATGGGGCAGCCACAGCTTCTCTGGGCAACCTGTGCCAGGGCCTCCCCCCCTCCCAGGGAAGAATTTCTTCCCAATATCCCATCCAACCCTGGCCTCTGGCAGTGGGAAGCCATTCCCTGTGTCCTGTCCCTCCATCCCTTGTCCAAAGTCCCTCTCCAGCTCTCTTGGAGCCTCTTTAGGCACTGAAAAGGCTCTAAGATCTCCCTGGAGCCTTTTCTTCTCCAGGTGAGCACCCCCAACTCTCCCAGCCTGGCTCCAGAGCAGAGGGGCTCCAACCCTCGGAGCATCTCCGTGGCCTCCTCTGGGCTTGTTCCAGCATCTCCACATCCTTCTACTGTTGGACCCTAGAGCTGGAGGCAGCTCTGCAGGTGGGGTCTCTCCTGAGGGGGGCTGAGGGGCAGAATCCTCCCTTCCCTGCTGCCCACACTGTGGGATCAGCCCAGGACAAGGTGGATCCATGTTCCTGGGGACACAGCTGGAGACACCATCAAGTTGTATATTTTGAAAAGACAAGGGATGATATGATGTGCTTGGAATGTAAAATCTCCACTGGTGCAACAGCACCCAAAGTGGGGTTTTTTGCTTATTTTATACTTAAAAGCAAGATGGTGATTTAATGCCTGCAAAATGATAGCAAGTTCAGTGTTGCTATCAAGGGGAATAAAATCCTAATCAAAAGGGAGCTCTTAGAATGAATTCCGAAATGCAGTGCTCATAAGCTGGTCTGTGATGTGTTAAAGCACAGTTTGACATGTGCTGCTGGTTAACCAGGAGCTTTCAATTATTGCACCCCCCTGCCTTTGAGCCACAAAAATGATGGAATGGCTCCTCGCAGGGGGGTGCTTTCCATGGCTCTCCAATAAAGGGAATGGATTCGTTCGTGCTAAACAAAGGCAGGAGCAGGGGTGGTGGCAGTGCTGCTGCAGTGGGCAGGACAGAGCTCGGTGGCAGTAGACAGAGGGACAAACATGTGGTTTGGGGAGATGCCTCCGTGTTCTTCTGCTTCCCTCTGCTGGAGTGCAGCAGGATTCCTGCCTGGATTCCTGCCTGGATTCCTGCCTGGATTCCTGCCCGGCTCCAGGAACTCCTTCGAGCAGACCCAAAGCTGGCTTGGCTGGGGGAGCCACTTCTGCAAACTCATGATTTATGTTTTTTAAAGGTTTCTGCTCCGTTTTTGGTGGTAGTTCCACCTCGTGCAGCCCAGATCTCCTGCTCACTGGGACTCTGGGCCTGCCCCTCTCTGTGCAATCTTGTCTCTGCTTTGAGATTAATGAATAATATTCTGATTTTTTGAGAGCTGTGTGGGCTGCAGATACCCAGTTGCTGTTCATCTTTAAAGGGATGCTGCACCCATATATGTCATTACAGGCTCTGAAAGCCAGCCTGTTCTAAAGTAGTGGAATTGCAGAGCACTGGCCAGATTTTTGCCAGTTTAAGGGTTTTTCAAAGACAAATATTTAAACGTCACTACTATTGATTGCCCAGTTTCCTTTCCCATTTAATTATGCTGTACTGCGTTCAGTTCTACTTACCAAAATGGGGGATTGTCTTAACATAGCCCAGAATTCACTTTTTAGCATGAAAATAACATGAATTTTAATAGAGCACATCATTCATCACTGCTTAACAAGTGCTTTCCCATTGCTTTCCCATTGCCACTTTCCCCCTCCATAACTTTGACGGGTTTTGGAAGCAGAAGTGGGTTTTCCCTTTAGAGTTTCACAATTAATCTATGCCAAGTTTAGTGCAAAGTTCAATTCTCTTGCAAATAGCAGCCATTATTTGGCAGTTCATCTGTCATATCCTGGCTTGGCTCCCTGTGTTTACTATGAAACGGGACTGCCAGCTCTGCTTTGGGAATTATTGAAAGTTTACATCGATGAAAAGGGCATATTTGAAGAAAATTTACGGGAGCTTTCCTTTAGCTCCATAGTTTTCCTTTAGCCAGAAAGTACTAAAGATGATCCTGTTTCCTCTATGATTCACATAAGTCCCTTAATGCATATTTAACACTGGGAAGTGTTAACAACTAATAAAATAATTGCTGTTAATGTAAGTAATTAGTACTGGCAATGTACTAATTATTATTAATATGATTGCTTGTAATTAAAATGCAAACTATAGATTCAAGGGTAGTTGTGAGTGCATGAAAAATCCCTGTTAATATAAGAATAAGATAAAAAGGTTTTATCATCTGTGATGGGTAGAAGTGATCTCTTGGCTTTCTCTAGATGGTCTCAGACTTGGTGGCAAAATAAAGTTGTCTTCTATACTTAAATTTACCAAAAAAAAATCAAAAAACATAGGACTGAAACAGAAAATAGGATTAAATACTGATGAAGAGTGCACTCTCTTATTTGTAGGTTTTAAATGTTTTTTAGGTTCTTCTATGTAGATGTATTAAAGGGATTTTGAAAGGGATATTCTACAAAGTTTCCAGTTCAGGAGTAGTTTTGGTACTGTTTTCCACTGTCCTGTTTATATTATGCTCTGCCTGGAATGACTTCATGCATAGAGAATAATAACTAATAATAGTCAGAACTTACTTGCTGCTCCTTAAAAAAATTAATTCATAATAAATTTTTCATTTGAAACATCCTACAGTAGGGACTTTCATATAGGGATAGAAAGGGGACATTCGTTACAGAAAGCAAATGATGATTCAAATTACATATAATGAATCGTGCAGGGCCAACTCCAAAGTTTGATTCAACTCGATTTATTTATTCCTGTGACTGTTTTTGTTTCATTTTGGAGTCACATTGAATTAGGCACAGGAGCACATGAGCTCGTGTTGCTTTGTGGTGAGAGCAGCAGAGCTGTCCTTACATGTCACAACGTTTTTTAGCCACACACCCCCCTGCTTAACTTAATTACATGGATATCCTGTTGTTTGGAGTGAAGTTATTTGGTAGTGTTATATCATTTCAGGACAATATACAGGCTCAATGTATTTAATAGACATTCACTATAATAATTTCCCCTCTGTATCATTTACTTTATACTCATAAATACCACTTACATCAGAGGTTAAACACAACTTTAAAACTCTGTTTATTCAGTGTCATTCTTGGAAGCTTTTGTCCTTCTCAGCCACAGATGTGCTTACCAGAGTAATGTTTAAGTGGGTATATTTATAAGGCAACAAGTCCCCTCCTGTCTTCTAAACAAAACAATTTAAGGAAGAATTCGCTTCCCAACTGTGGTTTAAATTCTTTGGAATCATATAGTCACAGAGCCATCAGAGAACCCTTTTGTAAAACAACGTTCCCATGACCCTGTGCCACGAGGCCCTTTGCTATATCTTTAATAAATAATGAAACAGATGTTCTGTGGAGCCCTGGATGTCACTCCATGTGGGTTAGCTGTGTTTACTAAATAAATACGGTTGTTAGCAGCTTGTATTTCATATCTCGGGCTGTGTAACAGGCAGAGCTATTGAAGTAGTCTCCATTTGAATTCCTAATGTAAAGTCTTTACTTGTTATCCTGGATGCTGTACAATTCCTTCCCGTGTAGTGAAAAAATAATGGTTATAGATTCATTGTAAAACTTGGAATCAGTATCGGAATGATTTCACATGCAGAATGCTCCCAAAACACAAAAAACCTTCACAAAGAATAAGATGGCAAAATATTAAAATATGAAGGCAAGATTTTGCCTTCTCATAGTCCTATTTTTATGCTAATTACTGTTAGAATTTCTCAGATTCCTTGAGAAAACACTTTTACTGGAGGAACCTCTGCCTTTTGAAGACAGAACCTCCAGGTTTTCCATCTTGGATTACATGCTGGGCTTTGCTTTTGATTGGCAGGTGAAGTTTAAAAATCAGTATATTTGTAAGACAGTTTAACAGTTCTTATCTAATATAAAGGCATATTAATACGAAATGTAATCAGAAGAAAAACATTTTCATGTCTCATTTTGCAGCTGTGTATTCGTTGAGGATGTTTTAGACCTGGCATTTCATGATTTCCGTGATCTTTCTGAAAATAATGTTAGCAAGGATTCATTTCAAACCCCAGTGTGTTTTCTAATGAAGAATTGCTGCTCTTCCCAACTCCTGATCAAGACTGGGCAGTGGTAGTTGTGACTAAAATACATTTGGGGCTGGAAATGGCCATCAGGGATATCAGGATGGAGAGGATGTGCACAGGACAGGGCTGTTGCCCCCTTTGAGCTCTGCACATCTCCAGCCTGGTGTGAGTGTAATGGGTGAACATACTGAATTTGTGATTTATTCCTTTTATATAAGTGTCTTGGTTTTCCAGAGAGGATCTCTACCCCTAGAGGAACAGCAAAATTCTTTCGATTTTTTATTTGAGCGTATTCCCTTTCACAGGTTCTAACTTAGGAAACATTTCCAAGCTGCTGGTGGCTAAAATGTCCTTTCTATAAGTTTCTCTGTTCAATAATCAGATGGGAACAGCATTGTCTGTAAAACATTTACTGCATGCCAAGTTAGAAGTTGTTCCCTTCCATTTACAGTGTAGATTATAAAGTTGCAGCATTTCGAGATGATCCCCTCTGTAAGATGCTGATTTTCCAGCCCTTTGACTGTGGTTCAGAACAGCCCATTAACAGTTATTTCCCTGCTGTATTTTGTGTGGTGACAAGGACACACTGTAATCAGACAGACGGTCTGTGACACTTCAGCCACGGGCTGAACACTGTCATTAAACTTTATGTACTTGTGCAGTCAGTAAGTGAAGTTTTAGTGCAGATAAATCATGGAACAAGGCTGTGTTCTCTGAGCTGACTCACTCTTACAACACCAAAGCAGAGGGAAATTAAGAACTGAGGCAGATGTGCCTGTGCCAATGCAGGTACCGCTCCGAGGGTCAGGAACAAGCTACACAATCAAATGTATTTTCCTGCAGCATAAGCTGCAGAGCTGGAAAGTTTTTGGTATTTGAGGTGATATATTAAAGGTGTGTCGCTGGTATTTTTTTATGACTTGAGGATGTCTGTCTGGTTTTTTTCCTCCAGGATCCCAGAAGCAAGCACAAATTTAAGATCCACACCTATGGGAGCCCCACCTTTTGTGACCACTGTGGGTCCCTCCTTTATGGGCTCCTGCACCAAGGGATGAAGTGTGACAGTAAGTGAAGGTTCTCTGTGTTACCAAAAGAGGGGTTTAGAAAGTAAGTGGAAACCCTGGGTAACAGCCTCTTACTTCATTTCTGTGGAAAACAGTGTTTCAAATGTCAGCTATTTATAGTCCTGTTATATTTCAAGTGGATATTTCAGTACTATAATGATCTACTAATGAAAATCACCTCTGCTGCTGAGAACGCAGCACGTTCAGCTTGATGTGGCTGAAGAGCCTTTGCTGTGGCAGTTTTGAGAAAGCCTCTTGAATACACCCTTAAAGACTGAAAATTCAGTTCAGTTTGTAGCCAGGGTCCAGTATTTTCCTTGTATTTAATTTGTATTGGAAGTGTCCTGCTAGAAAAATCTAATAATCAATTTAAACTCACGTTCATTGGGGATGCTGACGTGAATGCTCTGTTTTCTTAGTCATATTCCCAGCAAGTCTTTATTCCATCTTCACTTTTATTTTCCCTTGCACATCATTAATGGTTATGTTTAGGTTTCTGAAGTAGATTATTTTATTCTCTGCAGAATGTATTGTAAGATGTAGCCACATCATTGGGTGGAAAACCACCCAGCTGTGATCTGAAAGTCTGGCCAACAATTAAGCATTTAGCCTTAACTTTCACTTTCCTCCGAGTTTGCAGTGTGATCATAATTATTGGCTCCTCATGGGTGTCTGAACCGTTTTTGTCTCCACAGCCTGTGACATGAACGTTCATAAGCAATGTGTGATAAACGTGCCCAGCCTCTGTGGCATGGACCACACAGAGAAAAGGGGAAGGATTTACCTGAAAGCTGAAGTCATTGGTGAAAAACTGGAAGTAACAGGTAAACAGCTCACTTTGGAACTTTTCAGGTTTTATAGGCATTTATAACCACCGTGTGCCTTGCTCAGATCTTGGTGTGTTAAAGCCACTGATGGAGTATTTCCCTTCAGAAGTGTGAGGGTTTCATACAAAGTGTCTTGGAATCAAGAACTGGGGTTCATGAAAATAAATAGAAAAATGAAAGCTGTGGTAATAGCTTTAAAAACTCTGGAATATTAATTAGAAAATCACTTTATGTCATTTTTTTTCATGTAAAAAGCAGCTCAGTAGGATGGTTATCTGTTCAGGAAGTTCCCCATCATCTTCAGAACACGAGAGATGCACTAAACTTTCATCAGCTGGGGAGTTGTTTCCTGTATTTCATAGTGTTGAATAAACAAAAGCAACTTGGATTCAGTCCCAAATATTGCTCCCAGTGAATTATAAAATAAAAAAAAAACATAATTCTCACATTCTTTGAGCTTGAGGTTACCAAGATGGGGAGGAGGCAGAGAAAGGAAGGAAAGAGAGGGTGGCAGTTCTTTTCCTTGGAAGTGTTTCTCCCGGGATTTATGAGTAACTTTTGGTTGTGCACAGCCAGACTTGCACACCCCCACACCCCACCGACCCAGTCTGGGGCTGAAGCTGCAGAAAAAATTCTGTGTATCCAGAACAGGGTCCAGTGCTTTTATCATTGCCTGGTTGGTGTTGTAAAATGGAATCAAATTCGAGGGCAAAGTTTTACACCAGGGCAGAGTAGGAGGTTTCTTAGACCATCTCAACTTCTGCCCTTGGTTTTCCTGATGTTTCTTGACATTTCTTGCTTGTTGGCAACCTGTGGATGTTGAGTGTCACGTGTGGCTTCAGTGTGGCTCAGCTGACAGGATAGAGCCTGTTAGACACTAAAAGGACATTTCTTCCACCTCTGTTCCTCTTTGTGGAATGAGTCCAGTAGAGACCATCCCCTCGTGGTCAGCATAAAGGAAATGAGACCATCACCCTGAATTTTCCCTGCTGACTGAGCCAGCAAATATTCCTCCTGGCACTGTATTCTCTGTGGCTCTGTTCTCTCTGAATCCAGATGCCTCCATATTCTCCTGTCAGACCTTGTAAAACGCATTGAAAAGAAGAAGTTGGATAAAATTTCGTTAGAAAGGATCAGAACAGATCCCAAGTGGTGCTTAATTGTAGCTTAACTTTTCCTGTCGACGTGGGAGGGGAAATTTGTCCAAGGTACTGTCATTAACAGAAGGTGGTTTCACAAAGTGGTGAGGCATTTCAGAGATGGTGATGCAGCTTCTAAAAGCAATTGTACCATGAGAGAGAATTAATTTGAAAATCATCCAAGTGACAAAATGTAATGTTTGCATTATTCTAGGCCGCTCTGCAGCAAGGTTCTTAAATATGGCTCAAACTTTCTGCTGTAATACACATAATTTGACAAATAACATGTGCTTATTTTCTGATGATTCAGTGGGTTTATAATCCTTTTAGGGACAAAAACATTTGTCACAAGTCTCTGTGGTACCGAGGCCCTGTAAAACGATTACACAAACAAGGATTCTTTTAGTTCACAGTTTTATTTGAAAAGGTCTTCTCTGAGATATGAACGTGGTCAAATTGTTACAGGCATTTCTTGGGTTTTCTTCATTGCTCTTTTTGGTGTCAGTGTACTTGGCAAATGCTGTTTCTGTTGTGTTTATAAATAAAACATTTCCATCCTACAATTAAGTAGGTTTCTGGACAACAAGAAAAATGTTTACTATAACCTTGTTATGTGTAAAACAATTACAGGGCTGTTGTTGTGGTTGAGGCTTCTCAACATTTCCAAGCTTTCAGAAAACTTCTTTAAATGAAAGTGACAGTTGTTCTGAAAGTAAGCTGCTTTTTTGTTTCTTTAAATAAAAAAATGCCATACAGACTAAGCCCAAATGACATTTCAGGTGCCTTTTGTGCATGTTTAACTGAAAAGGAAATTAGCAGTTGTCAGGTAGTTCATGGACACACTGCTATGCAAAAATTTTCTCCTAGAATGTCATTGCTTCTAAAATATTTATTGAGAAAACCTTTGTTAGAATATGCAGTTCCCAGAGCTGCCAGGCACAATATCACTGCCTTTAGCTTTGGGAAAGGAGGTGAATTAAGTGTCCAGGAGGTTTAGGAACAGCAGGAAAAATAATCGATGATTGCCTGTTTGGTTTGAGCCCTTGTCTGAATCTTTTTCAAAGGAATTACTCTGTAGGTGTTGAACTGCTCCAGCTGAATTCCTCAATATCCCTGCCCTGCGTCCTGTTTTGGTTGTTAATTAGCTCCTGCTGGTTCCTTCTCAGCCAGCCTTGATCTCATGCAAAACATTTGTGCTGCTCGATGGAGACGTGCTCTGGGGTTGGCACCTTGCAAATCGCTGCTCTGGGGTTGGCACCTTGCAAATCGCTGCCATGGGCACCTCGACCCTCCCAGTCCCAGCCAGGACATTTTCCTGATGGAATGTTGTAAATAGGACTGAGTTTTTTTCCCCCCAGTGAATTCTAGGAAGGAGGCAAGGCAGGGTTCTGCCAGGTGGGGCTGGCCAGTGGCTCAGTCAGATTATCTAAAATCTCCAAGTTGGCAGGTTTTGAATTGAACTAATGGTGGGAATGATTCAATCCTATGTATAAACACACTTAATTCCAGTTAACTGGGTCGGATCTTCAATCCAGGTGCATGAACACGGACGTGCAGGTTTTTCTGTGTGAATTGTAGAGACCCTGCAACATTTCCTCACAAATGAGTAGGAATTTTGGATTGGCACACTCTGCCAAAATTCACCATCTTGCCAGGGCTGCTCAATCTGCCCCACTCAGTGCTCATTTCGTTGAAGTTCTTAAACATCAGTGGTTTATTTTCAATGGTTGAGCTGCTTGCTTGAGAGTTGCATTGAATATTAATAATTTATTGCACTTGAAGTAAATCAGTGGGGTAGTTTTCTTTTTATAGAAACACTCCTGAATTGCTTATCTCTGAAATCACTGAGTTCGTGACCCTTTCATACGTTGGATTGACGTGGGGGGTTTGCTCTTAGGCATAATAAAGCAGTTTTTGCTATTCTTAATCTCTGCTTTTTGCACTGAATTTTCTTCCTCCTGATGTGTGCTACAAGTTTTTTCACTCTTATATTTACCTCTTGACCCATCTTAGAATTCAGGGCGAGTTTGTAGGTGGTTGAATCACAGTTGCGATTTTTTTTGTTTCAATTTTATATTTGGGATTATTTTTATAGCGAATGAACAATAACCCGTGTGAGAAAAATAACCCCATTTGCTGCACTGATTTATAAAAAGCTGCCACGTTATTGGGACCCTAAACTGTGCCCTGAGACTGGCTGGGAGTTGGATGTGACAGCAGCTGACAGGGAAGAACCAATTTAGGGACAGGGTGGTAGTGACTTGCTGGCAGCCAGTGCACCCCCCTGCTACATAAACCTTGTTAAAACACACATAGACACAGCCCAGGATTTTCAGGAGGGGGGTTAAATCTATTTTTCTAAGCTTCGAGAATACAGAAAATCTGGTTTCATTCCTCGGTGATGCTCCTGTCATTTGGAAGGAGAGGAGGGCTGGCAGTGATCCCTGCAGAGGTTGGGAGCACAGAGCAGGCTCTCCAACAATAACCTCCCCGGGAGTTCTGTGCTCCCCACTGTGCATTCTCCACATTATTTGGGAGTGTGTGAATGCTGAGCCACCTTCTGGCTCTGCATATTAATGGCCTGTCACGCTGCTTGCTGGGGACAACGGGGGCAGGAGCCTCTGCCCAGACAAGCTGGGGAGACAAACTCGGAGAATTTTGGCACGTTTCTAGAGTCTCATAAAAATTGTTTCCTTAAAAGGTCTTACCACACACACACACCACTCTAATAATTTTAGTTATGATTTTCTAGGTCAGTGTCTGTCTTTGTTAGCATTGACTTCCTAATATCTGCGACTGATTTTAAAAGGGAGCATACGGGAATATTCTCGATATTTGACCAGCTTTTAGTACCAAATGCCTATAAAGGGATCCCAAATAACTCCTTGCACGTGGGAGACATTATTAATGTCTCAAAAAACACGGATCTCATGGTTTGCTTCACTAATATCTCTTTTGTGACATTCCCAGAAGCTGCAGGGTTGCTGCAGTCATTACAGGAAAAGCTGTGCCTTTAGCAATGCCAGCCCTGATAACAACAGAAAGTTTCCTTCCCATTCCAGTCATTAAATTTACTTTACCATGAAGAAATAGGCAATGCATGGTATTTAAAAAGAACATTAATTTTTCATAAATGACCATCTACATGCATACAGAAATATTAACTAAATCCTATATATTTAGGTAAGTGTATATACAGATAAAATTAGAAATGTAATGGTCTGAATCCTTTTTCAGACGATTTGATCCATCTTGTGTTAAGATTTATGTTTCATTAAGCAGCTGTCCTACCCAGTGGTGCTTAATGATAACTTTTACAAAGATAATCTTATTTTAAAAATAAAATAGAATTGCTCCTGTGAGATTTCCAGTTAAAATTGAAAGCAGAGAACCTATTGCAGGCACAAGAACTTGGGAAGCAGCGTTAGGGACGATGGTACATTTTTTGTTAGTAGGAGAGGATATATTAATAAATAGAGAGAAATAAAGTGTCCTGCGAAATTGGTTCATTTTTTGTCTTGTTGTAGACAAGGAAATGAATCATCTGTGCCTTGTACATCTCCTGGGCAGTGCAAGGGCTCGTTATATTGCCATTTTTCAGGGCTCCAGTAATGGGAGCACTGGGCTCAGGAGGGACATGAAAAGAAATGTTACCTGGGCAGGGGAGTAGTTATGGAATAGAGAAAAGTCTCATATCTGAAAGCCCTTTTAGTGATGAGAACTGCATGGAAACTGGAAATTGTCTGAAAAGCAGGATTTGTTTTCAGAGCCACTTGTACATGTGAGTCACAACCAGCTCCAGAAAGGAAGCACTCAGTGAGTTTTATTAAAACCTCGTAATAAATCTTTAATGAAAGCTGAGCAGTTCTGGAGGCAGCTTTGGATTTTGCATACAGAGAGTACAAATCCACAAATTGGAAGAAAGATTATTTTCAGTAATGGGTAAATCTTTTGAACTGTGGTTAAGGGGAGTGCAGGGAGGAACTGGGGAGAAAGTTCCTTGACTGAGAATACAAGATCCTCTGTCACTCACCTAAGTCATCTGAAAACTGGGCAAATCCCTGGGATTTAGGCTAGAATGTTCTTCAGGAGGCAGTGAGAATTATGGAATAATTTACTAATGCTTTATTGTGTGAAGACAGAAACTTGGAGCTAACTCTTGGAGCTAACAACAGCCTCCCTTTTCCTTCATTTCTCCGGATATTGTGCCAGGCCAGACCGTTGGAGACTGGGATTGTCTTTTAAAAGCAGTTATTAGCATGTGGTTGAGAGATTTCTGCTCATCTAAGTTGCCTCTGGGGGGTAAAAGATTGGCACAAAATGGTTTCTGTGATCACTAAACTGGTTTATTATCCACATTTGGGAATTCAGGAAAAAGGTAGCTGTGACTCACTTGAAAAGGAACTGAGTAAACTCATGCTGCTAATCATCCAGCTTTGTTCTAGGGACAGAAACATTTATTTATTCATTCCCATGACTAATTTTATCTGATGGTGCCACAAGCAGCTATAAATCCATAACTGCATATGGCTTGACCTATCCAATCTCATGGAAAAAGTTTCAGCTTCGTCATCCCCTCTCTGAATTCCTCAGAATTCTGCCTGTATTTCTTCTCTTTGCATCAAATGTCAGTTGTTCTCTGCCAGCCCACTCTGTTTTATTTAGATTTTTATTTAAAGTATGAATACCTAAGAACAAGATCTGTGTTTGCTTATATCTTTGTACTATTCCTGGGAAAGTGGGTGTTCCAGTTCCAGGCATGGCTCCTGGATGGATACTGCTGGTTTAGAAGGAGCACGTGATAGAAGAGCCATAGGACAGTCATCAAATAGTCTCCATTTTCTGCTGAATAGACATTTAGGATCTCTCCTTCATTAACAAGGAGGAAAATGGCACATTTTTTCCCTATTTCTGTTTTTAGAAGGAAAGCCTGGGCAAGGTGGGATTTGTTCAAATTCAGTATATACTTCTCTTTGTTGTCTGTTCATCTGTGTGCTCTCTCAGTCCTCATTGAGTCCAATCTGGACAAAATGTTGGGAAATTTAACTTGTAGCAGCTGCTTTGCTCAGTACAGAAATTGTTATCATCCTTAATAGTTACGACAGAAAAGCAACAAATTATATTTTAGGTTTGTGCCCAAGTTATGCTCCACTTCACCTCACTTCAACCATCTCATTTAGAGTAGCATTCCTAGCACAGCATTGAGTTTAATTAACTAATAATTATCAAGCAGTAAGAGGTTGCTGGCTGTCATTACAGCTATGGCACCACTCAGCCACAGTTAAGTTGATTTATTTTCAGGGGGTTATTTTTCATTTCACTTTTTCACCCCCACACAAGAGACGGTGCCTTGGGTGGGGAGGGGAAATCTCTTCTTCGTGTCAATCCTCTTAGAGAAACCTGACCCATCCTGTTAAAAATAGGGCACCCTTGGAGATGGACCACTTGGATGCTAATTCTCTATAAGCACCATTCAGCACAAGTATCATCACGCTGCTTCCTCAGGAAAAGAAGTGCTAAGTCAGTTGGAAAAGGATGTCTAAGGGTATTAATTATGCAGACAGAAGTACAAATGGGCCAGATATCTTAAAACAAGGAGGGAGATAATGACTTTGTCTGCAGCCTGTATTTAGTACATGTTGCATCTTTCCTTCCCAATTAATCTTTGAGCTTCTCTTTCTTATATTTAGAGGTGGGGTTTTTTTCCATTTTCTGTGTGTGCTGCAAAAGAAAGAAGCAATCTTACACATGCTGCCGTGGCCTCCTGCTGCCAGTGTTGTTTTCTAGGCTCAGCAGGTTTACCCAGGCTGGTCAGTGATGGCTTTCTCCAGGGAATTCTCCATGGCAGAGCTTCCAAGGATGTCTCTACATCCACCCAGCCCGTTGCTTAAAATTCTCCTTGTTACACTGAGCCTCTCCAGGTAAAACTGAAACCTAAAAGCTCAATCTGAAGATGCCATGTTCAAATTAAGCCATTTTGTTCAAGGGATTTTAGTGAAAAACTTCCCAATGTGTATTTTTGGGAAGCTGTAGAACATGTGGAGAGTTCTGCTCCTCACTTATGTCAAACTACAGGATAGAGAAAAAGAATGAGAATGTGGATTTTGAAGTAACAGCTCATGTGCCAAACCTGGCAGTGCAGTCACAAGAACCATGCACAAGAGGACTGAAAAAAAAAAACCAAACCAAAAAAGCCAAAATAACCCCAAATATAGGATGAGAGAGAGCAGCTTGCACTGAAAGCTGTCACTTCATCCCGCACTCGCTTTGTGGTTCTCAGTCCCTTTGGGATTGTAAATACTTAGCTAAAATAAGTCATTTAATCTCAGTGTTATTCCTCAGAAGTGTATTTGAAGATGGCTTTCAGTATGCTAAATTTTCATATTGGGTGGGTTGGGTTTTTTTCATGGGTTGAGAACAAATGGTTTTCCAGCTGACCACTGGGTGTGAAGACCCTCAAGGGGCAAACTCAGAGTAAACGAGAGTGGAAACAATTTTCCTGGCCTGAAAACTGTCATTTCCACAGTTGCAAAGCCCTGTCAGCTTCATACAGGGATTGTGGGAAACTAAAAATGAAATGATTTGCAAGAAAGATGCATGTTTCTGTTCTGTTCTTTTAAAATACAGTGATTTTTTTTTTCTGATATAATTATTTGAGCAATAAATTTAGTGAACAGAATTACAGTTTATTCTAAAATTTTAACCCATAAGCATTTTCTGTCTGTAGTTTTAAAACCACAAATTTAAGAAACTTAATCAGTATCAACTGCTGGGTCAAGTTCATGTGATTCATTTCCAGCCACGATCTAATTTCCTTGATTAATTTACCTCAGAGTATCTGTTCTGCATGAGAATTATCTTAACAAATAAACTAGTGTCTTCCAAATCAGTAACTCACATCCCTGGACACTGCCTTCTTCCCACAGCTATTTTGGATATAAGGTACCAGTTTGGTCTGGTGTTTCTTCCTTCCAACTTGTTCTACCACACCTAATAATCTCTCATTAAATAAACAGAGCAGGTCAAACTGTTTGAAATTATGGGGTTTTTTTCCTGTTGCACTGGTGGGTTTTCTCCCAAAAAGAAAATTTCCCTCTGCATCCTGCATCAGGGGCTCAGGAGTACGTTTGCACTTGGCAGTTGTGTCCTTTGGAAAAACACAATGAGCACTAAAACACTCTCTTCATCCCCTGCAAGGACAGAGTCAGCCTAGAGTTGCTTCCATCACCCTGATAATACACCTGGTGTGTGGGAAATGGAGCAGAACATCCCATGGTTTATAAATCAGTGCTGTTTTACAACAGGGGTGTTGTCAACACCACCATCTTTCATTTCACTGGCCTTTGGTAAAGCACAATAATAAAAACCTGCTGCCCAAAAGCTGTCCTCTTCTTATTCTATATATAAAAATAATATCTGTGTTCCTTGGATGCCTTTCAGCCTCCATGCTGGGAAACAACAGATTGAAATCCTGGGAAGGCTTTTTTATTTATAATACGAAAATGCCATTTAAATCTGGGGGAAGAGGAGAAGAATGCCTTGAGCAAACAGTAACTAACCTGTTGCTGAAGATCTAACAAGTTTTTTTCTTTTCTTTCTTTGCATTATCTCTGACTCTAAAATTCAAATTTTTGTAGGAAATATTTTCCATCGAGAAATATTAAGTGGCTTAAAGGTTGATGTTTCCTAAATTTCCTTTTAGATTTCTGCAGTTAGGTAGATAAATTTGAAAAAGCCCTCCTGAATGAAAGCTGAGGACACTCAATCCAGGATAATCTCTCTGGTGACTTTCTTCATCCCCTGGGAACCGTGTCACCCTCAAAGCTTCTTGCAGTCGTCCTTCCAGAAACAATTCCAATCTTAAACTATGGCTGTCACAAAGGAATTCCTGAATGAAAGCTGTTTTCTATCCAGAACAAGCCCAGAGATTGCTGCTCCCAGCATGATTTGAGATGCCCAGTTGTGAGCTCCAAATTTCCCTCCCCAGCTTTATCCCAGCTGGTTTGGGTGGGATGGGGTTTCCCAACACGAGGAAAATTCACCTCTTCTTCCAAGGTGCAGCAGAATAAAACATTCCATGATGTAGAAATGTTACTCATGTGGCTACAAGAGGGGGGGCAGTGCTGTCTTTGCTCTTCCATTGGATATTCCACTCCCCTGCACTTCTGACCTGCGGGTTCTGAGGGGTCTCTCACTCTTTGGGGATCATGAGATAACTCACTTTATTTCTTCTTTTGACGTTGTAAAAGTAGAAACCACATTAAGATTTTTGTGAAGCTGAAGTTCAGCTTGTCTTCCCTGTGTTTTTCCTTTGGTTGCTGTCATGGCATAATGTTCTCAAGGATTCCCTCTGACAGCTGACGAACTGTGAATCCAGGGGAAATTTAGTGTTCAAAACCTTCCAGAGGGGGATCATATCAGATAATGGACCCTCTGAAATCCATTGTGATCTGGCTGTTGCCCTTACAGCTTTTGGCTGATATTTCTGTCGTTGTATGACCTGAGACTGATGAGGAAATAAAAGCACAAAGAATTGGTACCTGCTTAGAAAAATTACAGTGATGGATTTGGGTATTTAATCGTTCCACTGCAGGAAAAGGCTGCCTGGGAGCTGCGTGTCGGTTGTGAATCACTCCTCTCCTGTCACTGCTCTCTACAATTCTGACAAATATCACCCAGTACAACCTCACTTTACAGCAAGGAGTTTCTTCCATGCCAAGTCTGACAAGTGGCTTTCACGTCTTATTTATTTGTCAGCATCTTTCAATAACTCTGCTTTGACATGTTATTGCGTTTTATGAGCGATGTCTAATCCTGTACAAACAAGCTGTTTTTTTTTTTTATATTGACAGTGAGAGAAGCAAAAAACCTCATTCCCATGGATCCAAATGGACTCTCAGATCCTTATGTTAAACTGAAGCTCATCCCAGACCCTAAGAATGAAAGCAAACAAAAAACAAAAACCATCCGTTCTACTCTGAATCCGGACTGGAATGAGTCCTTCACATTGTGAGTTTAACACCATTTCATGCAGGATCTTTGCCTGGTTTGAATTGTTTGTTCAGTGTTGCATTGGAAACTGCTCTATTTCTCTCCCTTTTAGTAAATTAAAGCCTTCAGACAAAGATCGCCGGTTGTCCGTCGAGGTCTGGGACTGGGATCGAACAACCAGGAATGATTTCATGGGATCTCTTTCATTTGGGGTGTCAGAGCTTATGAAAATGCCAGCCAGTGGATGGTAAGAGTTTCAGACAAGGGAGAAGGAGAGAATATATCACCAAAAGTTTTAAATCAGTCTTTTTCTTCAACACGATCTACCTTTTTTTTTTTTTTTTGAGTTTTTCACTGAGTTTCAGGCTATAAATTCACTGAAAGTGCAACTAAACCTAGGAAATACAGGCTATATATATATATTTATCTAAGGAGGATAATGAAAGGATTGCTTTTCTTTTGTGGTGTTCATGAAACTTCTACTGGAGCCAGGAGCTGCTGCAAACTCAGCTCTGTGTACATAGTCTTGTGATAGGAATTTTATTTTTATCTCAAATACGATGTATTCATTACTAAGTGTATCATGTTATATATAGCTCTGCAAATTCAAAGTGCATGGAAACTGATTTCATAAAATGCCGTCTCATTACCTACCAAGCAAGGGGTAGAACTCACCACATCTCCTGAAAAAGGACATTCCTTCAAAGACAGCTCTTTAGGGCTGTGGAAGCACTGGAGACAGAGGTTCTCCAGGGTTGATGTCTCCCATCATATCACAGGATGGGTGGGAAGAATCTCCTTGTCCATTAAACTGCCTTGCCACGTAATTTGGGATTAAAGGTTTGATTTCATGTTAAATATGTCTTATTTCTGAGTTTGCTTTAGGTCCTTGAGGTCAGTTCTTTACCTGCCTGTGACACTGATACAAACCACACACACAAAAAAAATCATATAATCACACTAAATCAGGCTTCAAATCTAACAGGAATAAAACTGGAAAGTCACTTTTTTTTTCTCAAATGTTCCTCAGGTACAAGCTGCTGAATCAAGAAGAAGGTGAATATTACAATGTTCCAATTCCAGATGCTGATGAAGATGGAAATGCAGAGCTCCGGCAGAAGTTTGAGGTGAGGGCTAAAAGCTGTATATTGCACTTATTTTTCACTTTATTACGAAATTTTTCACTTTATTCCAAAAAAGAAAGCCCGTTAAAACATACATATGGTTGAGTGCTACTGCTTCTGTTCCTGTGTCAGCACTGTGTGACTTTGGTTTCCTTGAAGATTGGGCCAAATGGTTTAATTCAGTGGTGGCATCATTTTTCTGACAGTTCAGCTTCTGTGCTATGACACTTCTAAGTTGGTATTTTAAAATATGTTTTGTCAAGCGTGTGTAATAATTTCAATATCTTCTAATACTTGCTGCAAAATCTTCCAGCCAGTATCACTGGTATCTGCGTTATTTGACAAATGAAATTCTCAGAAACCACATATTTAGAATGTTTAACACTGTAAGTTCTTGTGTTTTAACAAAAGGCTTGTAATTATTGCTGATAATTTAGAGTCTCATAATCTTTGCAGAAGTTTTTCATGTGAAATTCTGATCTCTGTAGCGTGGGTGAGGATGTTTTTAAGGACCAGAGGTATTGGTGGTTGTGTGTAGAAAAGAGAATCCAGAGAAAAGCAATGCTTTCCACAGTGTCCTGCCTTCTGTGGTGCCAACTGGAGGGGTTGGTAGCCACAAGCACAGTCTCATTGTACCATACAAAGGAGTAATTCCTTAATGATCACACTCAGCCAGCAACTCAGCCTCTTGTGACAACTACAGCTGAGACTTCAGCTAAGTATTTGCTGACCACAAACCCCAGGAACAGGGCAGGTACAGCCTGGGGAGGGAGGGGGTTTGCTGATGGCTGTGCTGGATTCAGCTCATCTCCCTTGGCTGCTCTTCCAGCTGCTCACACAGTAATGAATTTGAAATATCCCAACCTGCACTGTTGGTTCCCTTTTCCTGGTTGGACATTTCCAGCCCCAGCCAGGCTGTTTATCCAGAACGTGATTAATGTACCTGTTGTGCATAAACAAACACGCCTGCTCCTTTCAACCTGAAATGGCAATTTTTTATGTTCACCATCAGGCAGAATTCTCCATTGTTATTATAAAAGATGGGTTAACCCGAGAAAGTGAGGAAAAACAGCACATGTGCAACTTTCAAGGAAGAAAAAGAAAAGGTGCAGCAATTTCTTGTGAACGCATTTGGATCAGCTCCCATATTCCTGTCTGCAGCATGAACTATGATTTTTGTTATACATTTGAGAAGTATTTCAATCTCCATTCCATTTTCCTTTCTGGAAAGGATCACAATTGTGATCTGACCCGGTGTGATTTTATTTTGCTGCACTAGGTCATTTGCTGTTCAAGATCATATTTATTTTTTATCCTCCCTATGAAGAATAGCTTCAAAAGTAATTCTGTCCACCCCTTCCATGCCCCTGTGCATTATACAGAGCCTGGAACTGGTGTTTAAATATTGGTGATACAGGTATAGAAATCTACTTGGTTTTTCTCAGGTCAGAGACAGCACGAAGACAAGTCACTAAAATTGTCCACTTAAAAAGGTCAGATATTATATGCAATGTGTTTGCATATTGAATTTACAACCTCTTAGGCTTTTTTCTTCATGCTACAGTAAATACATTGGTTGCAGGAGAAACAGTCAGGGTTTATCTGTGTCCTGCAATGAAGTGGAGGAGAAATCCTGAGAGGTTGCATCGGGTAAAGCTACTGGACCTGGTCCCAGAAACAGCAGCTTCACATAGGGGCAGCTCTGCCTCAGAAATAATTAGTCTGTCTCAAAGTCTAATTAGTTCAGCCTCAGCACTGTGTATTTGAGGCTCTCCCTGTTCTGGGAGTAGCCTGGTTGTTGCTGTTTGAGTGACTGAATTAATCAAGGGAAGGGAATAGGTCTTCAGTGAACATGGTGTCTCCAGGAATGTGATTTCCCAAGGTGCACAATGAACAGTTTTAAACCATAGTGATGATAAATGAGTGTGAACAAACTCTGTAATTATGAGGAGACCGAGGCTGGGATAATGCAGTGTTACATGGCAAAAGGATTCAGGTTCACCCATTTGCCCTCTTGTAAAATTTACCACCCTGAGAAGGGGCAGAGGGAAGCAGGACCCTCCAAGAAAAATTCTTACTTGTTTTCAAGGGGCATCACTGTGATGGCTTCTAAAAATTAGCAGCACAGATGTCTGAATGGTGGTATTTAACTTATTAGCTATTCTGGTGTGGCACATAAGTGGTGCTGACTCCAATCATCTTTTATCTTACTTCTGTTATCATTTATATTCTGGCTTACATAGGCATTTTATTTTAGGTGCCCTGTACTAAGGAACAAGTAGATAGCACTGAGAAATATGCTGCTATTTGGGATTTAATGACATCATCTAAATAAATATTGCCACTGTTCTAAAATCAGCATTGAAGCCTTGCAGGAAGAGGATCGCAGATCTTGACTGCCATTTTGCTGGGGGAGTGAGTTTGTCAGGAACATTAAAATTATAGATAGATGTCTCAGTTTAATGAGACTGAAGTGTTTTGCTAAGGAGGATGAGTTATGAGGAAGACCAAACTCCTCCCTCTAAGCACCTGTAAATCTGAAACTAAGAGGTTTCAATCGAGGAAGTCTGGAGAAAGAAAAAAAAAATAACAGCCCTTTATTAAAGGATATATATGTGTATTGGCAGAACAACAAAAGAACACAAAAAACCCAACCAAACAATAATCCTGTACCTAAAAATCCCCTTCAAAAGGAAGCAATTTGGTACTTTCTGCTTTTTGGCACAATTTTAACCACGGTGGGCAGGGGGTGTGTTGAGCTCTGGCGGTCGCTGCGTGAGGGCCCCGGTGCACCGGAGGAGCCGAAAAATGGAGATTCCCACACACACAACGAGAAGGGGAAAAAGAAAAGGGGGAAAAGGGGTTCTTCTCGCGAAAACTCACGCTGTCTGTGGCTGACTGTGGCCGGGATTTCCCCCTTTGCATCGATGGGCACAAACCGCTGCCAAACACGGGAGCGGAGGAGGGAAAGGGCGACCTCGTCCCCAAACAGTTCCTCTGCAGATGGGTCAAGCCTCTCCGAGGAAATCCGAGCAGATCCAGGCTGGGGGCAGAACAGGGCACAGGCAAGCCAGGGCCAGAAAAAAGCCCGATGACCAGGCTGAGAACAAAACGACCTCGGAGCCTTTCCAACACACGCCTTGCCTGAGTTAAGGCAAAAGTGAAATAAATGCCACCGTTTCTGAGGAGAGAAGAAAAAAAAAAACTCAACACCCCTCCCCACATTCTTAGGAGGGCCATCAGGAGGTCCCAGGGACTTTTCAGCAAAACTTCAGGAAAGAAGACGTTCATCCATAGCGATCTCCCAACTGCAAGCAGGAGAGCAAGGCAGGTGAGCAGCTGGGAAAGATGGGGGGAAAATATCCCAGGAACAGAAACAAAGCTTGGATGCTTTTCATTGCCTTATGCGAAAGCAAAACCGAGAAGTGTCCGGACATAAATTAATGACACTTTTAGACTGGATTTTTTTACACCTACCTGATTTTCCAAGAGATGGGACTTTCCAAATAGAAACTTGGCAACGAGTTGATGTATGCTCTGTGAGCAAGCTGGACTTGGGGACTCTGCAGCTTGCAAACACTTAACTAACTACATGGGGTATGCTGATGGCTACTTTAAAAGCAGCTCAAAAAGAGACAGAAGCTGTTGCAGCTCTGGACTCTAACCCCCCTGCTCCTCCTGTGACAGAGGACAAAACTAAGAGTGCAGAGTAACCCTTTGAGGAGAAAAGCGGCTGCAAGCTGCCCAAACTCCCACAAACGTGCCTTTCCACCCTCCCGAAAGAGGAATCTGACATTGACTCCGACGACTCTTCTGATCCGGGATTAGACAAACCGGAACAAAAATTATCTCCTTTCATTAAAACCCAGAATGGGCACAGAAATATTTATGGAAACAAATGGGACGAACGCAGAGAAAAGGCTTTAGCAGCGGGTGACTGGGAATTTGTAACTGCCTGTCCTGTTATATATCGACAACAACCTCCTACATATCATAACCTGTCTTATGAGATGATAAAGGATTTACAGTAGCTAGTAAGAGAAAGCAGTATCTCCTCACCCCGTGTGTACTCCTTTTTAGAAGTGTTAAGTACTTCTTATGTGTTGGTTCCTCATGATTGGAAATGTCTCTTGAAAATGGTTTTAACAGCAACACACCCTGTTGGGAATCACTGTACGACCAAATGGGACGAGGTAACTGTAGCAAACCCAAAATCAAGCAGCCAAAGCACTGGTGTCAAGCCAACAAAGGGCTGAGATTCACGTGGTACCAGAATCAACTGTACAGAATGAACGATTTCCCAACCATGCTCCTTGAGCCACAAGGATTAGGGATCTTGGGAACTTTACACGCTACAACATGTTTCTATCTTAATTTTTTCACAGGTCCTCGCGCGAATCAACCCGAGCTTCACATCTCTCCCATAGGGATTTATGCAAGTGCTTCTTTATGGTGTAATGAAACACTTAGCCAGGGTTTGTCCCTGGCAATAAGCCAATAAGGTTACCTGATTTATTCTTGATTTTTGGGCAACGAGTATGGAAGAGCAATCCTGGAAAAGCGGTGAGGGGTCCCTGTGCTTTTGGGCAACTAACACTATTTCACCCTAATAAACTACCCTTGAACAGAACTCCACTCAGCAGAGGCAAAAGATCAATAAGCCAATTTTCCACAAATTGTGACTCAAATGTTCAGTTCTGGAACCAACTGCAAAGATTCTTTTCTAGCCTTATAGCAGGCACATGCTTTAACCTCTCTAAATAAACTTGGCTGCTGGCTTGCAAAGGAAGCTAATGCTACCAGCTTAGCAACAAGTGCCTTACTAACTCATGTAGATTCAGTGAGATGTGGAGGATCGTGGACCAGAGCAGAACTTAAAGGGTTACCGAAGCAGAGGACGTTGCCAGAACGGAAGAAAATGTGGCAGAAGGTGAGAGGAAGTGTCTGCAATGTGCCTGGAGCCAAAGGTCGTGTGACCCAGATGAAGATGATTGAAGAAAAGAAGAAAGCGTGTTGGAAGCTGATAGGTGTAAAGATGGGCATTAGTTGTTGATGGGTAGAAATGTGCATACTGTGCATTTTATGTGCATTTATAGGGCCGAGTATTGCTTGTTGATAGGTTGAAGATGCTTTGCTTTGCTCACAGAGCAGAAATGAAACTAATTCCTCTATAAACAGAGGCTTGAAATAAATAATAAACGATTGTGACCAGCAAGGGTGTCCATGCTTCAATCGCTACAACCTCCCATTTAAATCAGAATTTTAAAAATATCTGCCTGCATCTAGATTTCAACAGACAGCCTTGAGACTTGGCCTCAAGCTCTCACTGGTTTCAAACTCTTTACACAATCCCATCACATCCTTCTTAACATATCACTGTAACCACCCAGACTTCTTATTTAAATGTGGTTATTAGCCACACAAATCTCATGGATATGCTGCTTCGCTTGCTGGACCTTCTGGCACAGATTCTTTAAGTCATTTATTCAGTGTAAATCTACCATAAAATAGCCATGCAAGATTATAAATAAATAATAATAGATTCAAAAATTCTCTTTGCTTACATCTGTAAATGAACAGAAGAAACCTGTTTGTCATGAGAAGTTTCCTCATTGCCCATTCTGCCACCTCTGAATCAGCTGAAAAATTAACACCCAACTTCTGCCCTATCCAACAAATGGGACCAAATTTGGAAAAGAAAGAGTCGAAGAGGATAGTGCTTTTTTACCTTTTTGATTTTATTGCCAGGATTTTTCTTATTATGTACAATGTGTTATCTGTATGAACTTGTGCATTATATAGAAAGTGAGGTGTGTTATGCAGGGATGCAGTGCAGTGTTTTCTACACAACAAATTTTATTCAATCTACGTATTTTCTGGATCTCACCTCTCACTAGAACTTACAAATCCATTATCTGCTCATTTAGCAGTTATCAAATCTGTCCTCAGTGATTTATACGTGATACATCATTATTAATATTTGGAGATAAAAATATACTCCTGTAGGAAGTGGAGGCAGGAGAAAATCTGTCACTATTTTTCAGTTGGTTTTAACCTTTGGTTGTGAATTTTCTCTCTGGAATGGGATTATTTGTGGCCATCTCAAAATGCAACTCCCTCAGAATAATTGTAGCTGCTCCATAATTGTCCGTGCTGAGGTTGCCATGGGAACTCCCAACAGTCCCAGGTGGCTCCATGGACCCAAACTAGCAAATCTTCCGACTGCAGCATCTACTCTTTGTTAGATACTTATTTTCTTCTTGCAGTATTTTACTAGGCAAAGAAAAAAGCAGGATATTGAAATAATGCAACCTTATGGTATTTTTTTCTACCAGGTTGTGGTTTGGGCAGTAAGATGCTTTTGCTGTTTAGAGCATCATTCCTTGGGGTTTTTTTTGTATTAGAGGAAAAGAAATGTGTGAATTGTATAACTTCTATTGTAGAAAGTTATTTCAGTTTGGTCAAGCCTTTTTTTTCTTTTCCTGCTTAGTAAAGCACTTCTTGATAGAATAATAATAGAATAATACTGGTTTAAAAGTAGGCTGGTGAGTTATTCTCTCTGTTCCTTTCTTTTCACATCACCAACACGGGAAATGTTATTAAAAATAAAGCAGTTATGGTCCATTCAAATGATTTTTTTTAAATTAAACAAAGGCCAGAGCAGCTGTAATCCTGACACGTGGACACATTTACTGAGCACAAGGTGTCTTGAGTGATGGGAGCAGTGTGAGTCACTGCTTTGGGAATCGGAGTGATCCGAGCACGTTGTTGCCGCTCCTAAAATCTTCATTTTAAAGCCTCTTTGGGGAAGACGTGCAATGGTCCTCCTGGTGCGTAATCTTCACATATCAGACATCTTCTTTTGTTCTAATTACTTCCTCTAGTGTAGCTCTGGGTGGGTTTCAGAGGAACGAAATTGTTCCCTTGGTTTCTGAGAGAGGCTGCTGTTCCCACTGGGGGGATCCATGTGGGACCATTCTGATGGTGCTTCCCTGGGGACACAAATGCACATCCACCACCCAGGCCACCTCTGAGTGGTGTTTGTGCTCAAGATTTCAACTACCTTGACCCATGGAAATGCTGGTGGAGGCTGTACAGAAGCTGGACCTGTTGTGTCCTTTTCCAGCCTGCAATGTAAGGTGAGGGAGCAGAGTCCAGAACAGGGTGGATTTCGAATCTGAGCACTGGAAGTGCTCAGTCAGTGGTGACATTTGGGTGACATCTCAGTGCTTCTAAACATAACTATTAGGATGATCCTAAAGAAAATGTCTTTTAAAGTGCCTTATCATTTGAAATATAAGAACAGGGAGGATGTGGAGCTTGGCCATCGGGCTCGGTTATAAATACCCAGGAGCTCTCCAGTGACTCAGGAACTGCAGATATTTCTGCTGCTGAGCTCCTCCAGGATGCAGAGCAGCGCTTTGTTTGACTAAACTTGTGTGTTAATCCTTGTGCAGACGTGAATTTGCAAAGCAGTGCCCTCTCCCAGTCTGGATTTGTGCATACAGAGCTCCCATGGATTTACACCACCAGGCCTCTCTTTGTGGCTGCACAGCTGGTGTTAAACAGAACCTGAAAATGTCCCCAGATTTCAAGGCACAATTAAAGCTTTCTGATGAGTTCTGTTGCTGTTATAGTCTAATGCTAAAGAAACCTCTTTCATTTATTTATCATTTCCTTTCTCAACACCAATACATCATTTCAGTTGTTTCACTGCAGGTCCTGCATTTCTTAGATCTTCAACACTCCCTTTAGTTTTAGTTTTTAAAGCAGTTTCTGGCTGCTTTATTAGAAAGGAGAAGGCCAGGACTGTCTTGATTAATCTGACATTTTCCTGATATTCACAGCAACTTTAGGTCAAAAGGACATTTTCTTTCTTTCCTTTAATCAGTGGCCAGAACATCCTAGAGCTGTCTTGATTCTGAGCTGGAGGCTGGGTGAAAATGTTGCAGTTGCACAGCCAGGGCCATAGCAGAAGACTCCAGGAACTGTTTCAGTAGCTTCTGAAGAACCCAATGAGTTTTCTAATTAAATTAACTAATTTTTCATTAAAAAAAAAAACCAACAAAACAAAATAAACCAAACTGTAGAGGAGCTTATGATTTTGTTAATTTGTGGGTTAAGTTCTCCAGGTCTCTCTGTAAAGTATTATAAGGGCTGTGAAGGAAACATTTCTTTGAAGTTTTTGAAGGATGGCAATGTTTTTGCCCCAGAGCTCTTATACTACAGTTACTTTGCTCTTTTTTTTTAATAAATAAAAGATATGATCTCTTCCAATCTGTATCTAACCAATATAACTCCCATTTTGAAGCAATAACTGTAACTTCAGGCAGGTCAGGGAAGGTGACATGAAAAAGGGAAATAATGTTGCTGACACTTCAAATTGTGAACTACAAGATTAAATTTACTTTTCAGGAAACAGACACTAAGCTACACTGAAATCATGACCAGCCAAAATATCACTGGCACATCAATCCACTCTCATTATGCATATAGAGATATAAAAAGAAGAGCTGCTTTTTTTGGCCATGGCACTCATTCCTATTTTTAAATTGTGCATATTTAATCATTAGAGAATAGTTTGCAGCATTATAGAGATGCTGTTAGATGACTCCATCTGTTCTGTACTATAGTTTGGCATGGGGAATTCCCATATGCAGTTATCTGGAGGTTTCCCATCCACTCACCAGAGCTCAAACTAGAAAACTTGACATTTCTTAACTAGATGGCATAAATCTCTGCTCTCTGTTCGGATCAGCCTCTGATTTCCCTAAGGCTTTTCTCAGGCAGCGTGTTGTGATTTCAGGTGAAGAATATATGTAAAAAATCATATCGGTGGGAGGGATTTCCTTATCCCTTTTGTAAAGGTTAAATGTGTGTTGCAGAACAAGGCAAAAAAAAAAAAAATCAAGAAACCCTTTAGTGCTGTGGCCCTGTCAGAGCTCACCAGCTGGTGAAGCCCAGGCTCCCCACAGCTGGACACACCTGGAGTGTTTCCCCAAGGAATGTCCCGTGCATGAGGGGGGAGGATGTGCCCAAAGCTGAGGAGCAGCTGTGTGAGGACCTGTCCCTCACTGTGCTTGTCCCTGCTCCTCCCTGGCAGGGTAATTAACACCGATTTATTTTTTTTTGTGTGGTTTTTCTGTGCTTAACAGATGTGTCCATTTTGTATTCCCGCTGCTGTGTCTGTATTTGTTTATCCTGCTACTAATTGTGGTTGCTTTGCTGTGCCAGCCCTTACTAACCAGGCAGTGTTTCTCCCTTTCCTGTCTCTTCCAGGACTGTCATGTAAATATCCACTTCTTCAAGGTAGTTTTGGTGTTCTCCTGCACCTTTCTCTTCACACAACCCTCTTGACTGATGTTTGAAGTTTATTAAGTTCAGTTTCATCCTCAGCATGTTTTAAGGATGCACTTGTTTTTCTCCCAGCTAAAGGTTTTCTTTAAAAAAAAAATGGATTTGTCACAAAATACTCCCCAGATTAAGATTTTACTACCAAAAAGCAGTCATCCAACCTGAGCAGATGCAGTGTGCCTTTCTTTTTGAAGGAATGAGTTAAATGAATGCCACCTTCTCATGGAAAATGGAAAATGGTGCATCTTTAATTTGAAAGACATTCATGGAACTTTAAATGACTTTCACAGATCAAATAATGCTCGTGGTCACTGTATATTTAAATAGATAAATTTGCATACTACAGCATGCATGGTTTATGGTATAACATACTACATCTATTGCTCTATGTTATTTGGAGTATGCTATATCATAAGAGATTATTATATTATCATGTGCACAGATGCTCTGATACCTGAGATACCAATTCACCTGTTAACTTCCCATTTTGCTTTTTTCACTAATCACCACATCACTCTGTTATTGCCATAAAAGTTACATCTCAGCATTGAGAACATACATGTGTGGACTTTATATTTGCATGTATCTCTGAGAAATTATCTTGCTTTATTACGACAAAGGTCACTGACACAAATCACACTTGAAGTTTTATACATTGGTTAAGTTACAATTTGAATTAAAATTTGAAGCTCCTGAGCTGTAACTGTTTTAATCTAAGATTATTGAAGCCATTGTCATCTTCAAATAGTATTTTTACAGCTGAAGTTGACCTAGAGCAGTTTACATGTTACAGCTCGAAGCTTAAAATACTTAATTTAAAAAACAAATGTTATGTTTGAAGAATTGTTTATATTATTAATGCATGATTTTAACAAATATTCTAATACTGAACCAGAAAAATCCAAAAATAAGACCATTTGTCACTGCCAAATATTTCCTAATGCAATAATCATTTGTCATGCAATCAGTAACACTTTTTCTTAACCTTGATTCTTTATCTGATATCTCCATCTCAGAAAGGCCTGTGCAGAAGAGGACTGTCCTTCCTCAATCCTTTATACCTTTTCTTATTTGAGAATAAAACTGCATGGGGGTTTCATTGGTGAAACTTGTTTCATGCTGGGAAGTTGGAATTTTCTCTGTTTAAGTGTGTTTTTAAAGGAGAAAATGCATTTGGAATAAATATGAAGTTTTGTCACTTCATTTGTAAAAACCGGGCCTTGAAGTGCACTGATATAAACTGACAGAAGTCCTTGTCCATTCATGTTTCCACCACAGGAAAGCACCCAAAAGAAAGGGCTGAGGAGTTTCCTACAGCTGCTGCTTCCCAAAAATTCATGTTTAGTGCTGGTGAATTATAAACATGAATTCCAACAGAGCAAGCTGGCTCTCTGTTCTGATGGGGACGCTCAAGAATTCAGGTTTTTTCATGGAGGGGGTGGAGGAAAAAAAGCTTCCTTGTTTGTGATGTGTCTTTTCTCACTGAATCACTACAAGAAGAGGCTGAGGGAGCTGGGGCTGTTCAGCCTGGGGAAGAGGAGGCTCAGGGGAGACCTCCTCACTCTCCGCAACTCCCTGACAGGAGGGGGGAGCCAGGTAGGGTTTGGTCTCTTTTCCCAGGCAACCATCAGTAAGACAAGAGGGCTGGGTCTTCAGCTGTGCCAGGGGAGGTTTAGGTTGGATATTAGGAAGAATTTCTTTACAGAGAGAGTAATCAGCCATTGGAATGGGCTGCCCAGGGAAGTGGTGGATTCTCTGTCCCTGGAGGTTTTTAAGGACAGACTGGATGTGGCATCAGTGCCATGGGCTGGGAACCACAGTGATGTTGGATCAAGGGCTGGACTTGATGATCTTGGAGGTCCCTTCCAACCCAGCTGATTCTATGATTCTATGATCATCCCAAATCTCTCCTCTCCTTGGGGCTGGCAGTGACTTGGCAGTGCTGACCTCAGTTCAGAGGCGTCACTGCCTCCTGCGGGACCATCACAGGGCTCTGGGAATGATTGGGAATGATGCTGGAGGTAATCCCTTTATGTGGGGCTGCTGGGAGCTTGTGTGCCCAAGTGCACAGGATCAGAATTGAAAGGAAGCAGCAGGAGCAGCTGAAGGAGGAAGGCTGTGTTCCCCAGGATAACACTGCAGTTCTGAGCTAGAAACTTGTAAAACGTGCAAAACTGATTTTATAACGTCATAGCAGAGCTGGGGCTGCTGAGAGCGAGGTCAGGCAGCACGGAAAAACTTGGTTATGGAATAATCAGATGCTGGGAAGGATCACACATTTATCCTGCTGTTGTTCCGCTGCAAAGTGTATATTTAAATAGATTATTTCTCAACATCGTGTGCAGAAAACACCTTCATCTTTTTGGGTGTGTGTGTTTGTGTGTGATAAATGGTTTCATAGCACCTTAAGATCTGGATACACAATTCCCAAGGCTTTAAAATCAGTCCTGGTCTGCAGCTTTGCATGCCTGGGGGGGGTTGATTGCAGGGATTTGCTCTAGGATTAGGTAGAAAGTCCTTAAAAATTATTATAGAACAGAATTTTATTATTCTTTGCCCATATTGAGATGAGTTTTATGCTTAAAAGCAAATTCCACACTCAAGATTGAAAACTAGCAGTAATTTGCATAATTAAAAAATGAAGGAGCATATATAAAAGCAATTCCTTTTTTGACACTTAGGGATTTGCTGTTGTAGCATCCTATTTGCTGTTTGGGGTTTTTATTAGCACTACCACAGGATACTTCTGCAAGAATTCTTGAATATTATTCCTAGGCAGCCTCTTTAATTACATTTCTCCTCGTTAGGCACCGCTCTGTTGCAGGGCAGAGCGTGTTTGGCAATAAAGGCAGAAAACAGAGTGGACTCAGGTGGCCACAGGATTATTAAACAGATTAAACATGTTGACAGTGCCAAATGGGGACTGGAAACTCTTCCCTCTCAAGATTTCACGGCTCACAGGCAGATCTATTCATTGTCCAGGGCAATATCCCCTCAAATTCCTATCTTAGGATAGATATATCCTTTTTCCAGTGACTGTCTTTCATAGTCATTCGAATTAGTTGTCTACATTTTCTAAGGGATATGTTTACCCCAATTTTTTGCTTGGCAAATTCGGGAATTTTTTTGAAATCACCTATTCAAGTATTTCATATAGTTTTAACTTCTATCCAGCGACACCAAAAAGTTTAAAAAAATACTGAATCAATTGGAAAATTGATTATAAACCCCCCCAAACAAAGTCTGTTGGGATGCTCAGTGGTGTATTAAACTGTTGTCTTGTCCTTTCAGATTCTCTTTTTGCCTTTATCTGAAGTAACAATGTTGAATGTCATGAAGTAACAATTTCTCCTCAGAGCTAGAAACCACAAGAGGTCAGCAAAGAACAGAGAAAAGCTCCCAGAGCTGAGCTGGCTCCAGCAAAAGGCCTGAAAGGAAGGAAATCATCCACGTTTTGTATGTGTATATTTAGAAATATATAAACTCAGTAAATTAAAAGCTGTTTTGATAACATTCATTTTTTCAGGCAAATAATTTCAATAAATTTACTGTTATTAACCAAAAGGGTAAATATGACACAAGTTTAAGGGAAACAGGAGAGGAAATGAGGAGAAAAGTAAATTAAAGACATAAAATAGTCCATATTTAACTCCCAGGTAGAGTTTTATCACCCTCCCCATTTATATTTTTATGAAACATCCCCTTTGCCTTCATGCCTTTTTCCTAGCAGTGGGAATGATAGGAATTTTTTGCTAGCTATTTTTTTCAGTAACTAGTTTAGCTAATGAAGCAAAAATGCATTTTCATTTTTATAGGTTGCACTTTTTACTGATTAGGTCTTAGCTCACCACAGTGACATGACCACCATGAAAAATCTAATAGTGCAGATGAGCAGCTTTCTGCTTATTTACATCTCCTCAGTGTTGTCCTTGCTGCAGAGAAGTCTTGCTGGAGTGTAAATCCACCAAGGAATCCGTGGCTGAAAACCTCGTGGATCCTTGATGGTGTCCCTGGTATCACCTATCCCTGCTGAGGGTCTTGTGTACTGCCATGTCTTGTGTGGGCATCTCCAGCCTCCTGCTCCTTTTTATATGGATAAATATGTGTATATACATTAATTTCTGTGATTTAGTTCATCAGTTAATTTGGTTGTGACAGGGATGAGAGTGCACCGTGTGATGGGAAAAGCCGCCGCCCTCGCGAGAACTTGTAACGCCAGGGAGAGAAACACAAGAGCCAGACACTGTGTCCATGTTCTGTTTTACGGAAAATTTAGTGCAAAAGCAACTCCCAAGATTGCTCAGCACAGGTTTAGTAGGAAAAAAATTGGCCAAGGAAGTTCCTTCCCTCTGTTGGCTTGAACAGTGAGGACACGAGCTCGGGTTGGACCAAGATAACGCTGGTTCCAGCCCCTCTCTGCTCAGAGCTGCTGGGCTGCTCCATCAGCTGGAATTTAGGCTCTAACTTTCTCTGTTCTGTGTTGTTTCCATGACTACACAACTCCCTGCTAATGATTTATAAGCTGGCATTAGGTTATGGTATTAAGATTAAACTTCGGTCTGATGAAGTATTAGGTCTTGGCTGGGGCTTAGAAATGGACTCTGCTCGTTTCAGATTCTCAGCATCCTGATAATAATTAAGTTGTATAAACTAGGAAATTGATAGTCCATCATAGCATCTATAATTACATGGAATTGGAAATGCAATAATGTAAGAAACAAGCTGCCACAATGACAGAGAGAATTTCCCTGAATGGGAGGGGTTTTCCTACAGATTTTTACTTGAGATTTATTGGATTTATTTACTTTATTAAAGGCTTGCTAACGCCTCAATCCACTGATCAAAATCCCCACTGACTGTACATGACTGGAAACCTGAATGGGTCCTCCCTTGGGACTTGGATAAATTGTTATTTCAGTTTTTCCATCCCTGGTATGAGCTTTGCTGGTTCTGTC